AAAAGGCATCCAAATTGGCAAAGAAGAAGTCAAACTTTCACTCTTCAGAGATGACAGGATCCTCTACATAGAAAACTTGAGAGACTCCACCAAAAAACTCCTAGAACTGATACAGGAATTCAGCAAAGTTGCAAGATATAAAACCAACATACAGAAATCTGCTGCATTTCTATACACCAATAATGAAGCAGCAGAAAGAGAAATCAAGGAATCAATCCCATTTAAAATTGCACCAAAACCCGTAAGACACCTAGGAATAAACCTAACCAAAGAGGTAAAGGATCTGTACTCTGAAAACTATAGAACATTTATGAAAGAAATTGAAGAAGACACAAAGAAATGGAAAAGCATTCCATGCTCATGGTTTAGAAGAACAAACATTGTTAAAATGTCTATACTACCCGAAGCAATCTACATATTCAATGCAATCCCAATCAAAATAACACCAGCATTTTTTTTTTACAGACCTAGAACAAACAATCCTAAAATCTGTATGGAACCACAAAAGACCCCAAATAGCCAAAGTAATGTTCAAAAAGCAAAGCAAAGCGTAAGTCATCACAATCCCAGACTTCAAGCTCTATTACAAAGCTGTAATCATCAAGACAGTATGGTACTGGCACAAAAACAGACATATAGATCAATGGAACAGAACAGAGAACCCAGAAATGGACCACAACTCTATGGTCAACTAATCAACAAAGCAGGAAAGAATATCCAATGGAAAAAAAGACAGTCTCTTTAACAAATGGTGTTGGGAAAATTGGACAGCCACATGCAGAAGACTGAAACTGGACCATTTCCTTACATCATACACAAAGATAAATTCAAAATGGATTAAAGACCTAAATGTGAGACAGGAACCTATCAAAATCCTAGAGAACAGAGGCAACAACCTCTTTGACCCCGGCAGTGGCAACTTCCTACTAGACACAATTCCAAAGGCAAGGGAAACAAAGGCAAAAATGAACTATCGGGACTTCATCAAGATAAAAAGCTTCTGTACAGTGAAGGAAACAACAAAACTAAAAGGCAACTGACGGAATGGGAGAAGATATCTGCAGATATCTTATCAAATAAAGGGCTAGTATCCAGAATCTATAAAGAACTCATCAAAATCAACACCCCAAAAATAATCCAGTTAAGAAATGGGCAGAAGGCATAGAACAGACATTTCTTCAAAGAAGACATACAAATGGCTAACAGACATATGAAAAAATGCTCAGCATCACTCATCATCAGGGAAATACAAATCAAAACCACAATGAGATACCACCTCACACCTGTCAGAATGGTTAAAATTAACAACTCAGGAAATAACAGATGTTGGTGTGGATGCATAGAAAGGGGAACCCTTTTGCACTGTTGCTGGGAATGCAAACTGGTGCAGCCACCCTGGAAAACAGTATGGAGGTTCCTCAAAAAGTTGAAAATAGAACTATCCTATGATCCAGCAATTGCACTACTAGGTATTTACCCAAAGAATACAAAAATGTTGATTTGAAGGAGCACATGCACCCCAATGTTTATAGCAGCACTATCAACAATAGCCAAACTATGAAGAGAGTCCAAATGTCCATCAACAGATGAATGGATAAAGAAGATGTGGTATACAAACACACACACACACACACACACACACACACACACACACAGGAATATTATTCAGCCATCAAAAAATGAAATCTTGCCATTTGCAACAATGTGGAGGGAACTAGAGTGTATTTTGCTAAGGGAAGTCAGTCAGAGATAGACAAATATCATATGATTTCACTCATATGAGTGGACTTTAATAAGTAAAACAGATGAACATAGGGGAAGGGAAGGAAAAATAAAAACAGGGAGGGAGGTAAACCATAAGAGACTCTTAACTAGACAAACTGAATGTTGCTGGACGGGAGGTAGGTAGGGGGATGGGCTAAATGGGTGATGGGTATTAAGAAGGGCATTTGTTGGGATGAGCACTGGGTTATTATATATAAATGATGAATCACAAAATTCTACTCCTGAAATCAATACTATATTATATATCAACTAATTTGAGTTTAAGTTAAAATTTAAAATACTGAGGGACACCTGGGTGGCTCAGTTGGTTAAGCATTTGTCTTTGGTTCAGGTCATGATCCCGGAGTCCTGGGATCCACTCCCATGTCAAGCTACTCGGTCAGCGGGGAGTCTGCTTTCTCCCTCTCTCTCTGCCCCTGCCCCTCGCTTGTACTCTCACTCTCTCAAATAAAATTAAAAAAAAATTTTTTTTAAACTGAAAAAAGGAAAGACATGGCTCCCCATTCCCTAACTGCCATCCTGTCCCCAAATATTGATAGATTAGCAAGCAAGTTTCTTCCTTTTCTAGAAACCTGTTGTTGCTCCTCCTCCTTTCTGTATATCAGATGTCCTAACCGTGATACTAAAAGGTAAAAAAATAAAAAATAAATAAAGAATTCCATGTTTAAACACATTTGACTGAGTTTTAAACAAGTTAAGTGGATTTATCATTTCAGAGCCTTCAATCTGCTTATGTACATAAAATCTCCAAGAAAGAGAAACATAAAATGGAATGCTTCCCAAATTATGTGACCATAAAACCAAAGGTTGCTGTACCACGTGTCTGAGGTCAAGCCACTAAAATCTACGCATGTATCTCCTCAGTTCCCTGTTCTTAAAGAATAAAAACTAACTCCCTAATATAACATACAAGAATCTTTGTAACTTGGTGCTATCTACCTTGTCAATCCTCCCTCCCGCTCCCATCAGCTCCATTCTGATCATGGCAGGGCCCAGTTTCACAAGGTGTTGTCTCCAGCTGGAATACCTTTCTTCTCCCCTTCCAATCTAGTCTCCCCAATGTCCTTCCAGATATGGTTCATACAAGACCTCACGGAAGCCTTCTCTGATCTTTCCCACTCAATTAGTCGTACCCTCCCATGTGTTCTCACAGCACTTTATTTATATCTGCACTGCAGCACTTTTCTCAGTGGGTCTCGGGTAGCTATTGATTGATCGCTTTCCTTCTAATCTAGGCTCCTGAAAACCGAAGACTGTATCATTTACATCCTCAGTGAGAGGCATCCTGTAGGTACTCAGTAAAAGCCTACATTTCTTTAGCCCTCTCTGCCAAGGCCTCTATATTCTAAAACAAAGGTTTCCTGGATCCCCAAAGGGGAAGACTTGAGTCATACCTTTTTTTTTCCTAGCACAATTAACAAGAGGGATACTTATATTTTTATGTCTAAAGGACTTTCTAAGAACATTTATGTAACTGTGTATTGCATAGTTCCCTACACAAAGCCAAGTCGCCATACATGGAGATCAACCCATTCCTATCTTTTCACAGCCAATTGTAATCATGAACCCCATTTAGACTTAGTCATAATGAAGTCTATTCTTCCAACAGCTCAAAATACTGGAAAATATTATTCATCCAGTTTTAATATAGTCCTATAGATTTGAGAGCAGAAAACTTTCATTTTATTTGTATGTCCACTAATAATAAAGGATTCCAATAGGATCAATGGTATGGGATCAAAACTAGTGGTTATGAGCTGTGGTTCTTCTGCTCATAATGAAAGTAGACTCTCTAATGTTTCTCAAAAAATACATTTAATGTAACTTTGGTCTGACTTTATAAACAGGCTTCCAGCAAAGGCAGTAGGTCATACTACTATTTCCATGGGAACTAAGAAAAAGATACAGAATTCATGAACTCAAACACTGAAGCATAAGAAATATCATAGCTAGAAGAAAAGAAATCTACTTCTTTTCATTTCCCTCACACCAAAAGTTCTCTGAAGCTCCAAATACTCCTTTTTTGACCTGGTTCCCACATGAGCCCCTGACCATCTTTCTCCAGATGTACTAGCACTGGTCAAGATCTTAAGATATGGAACACACACACACATACACAGAAAATATATACTTTCTGAAATATGCATTACTAAAGTCTGGAGTACAATATTCTTTCTTCACTGATAGCAAACTAAATTGGTCATCACATTCCCAAGCTCTCATCAAGTTCATATTACCAAGGTATTTCCCACTGGGTCAGTCAGAATTAAGTCCACAGTCATCATGGTCTCTCAATGAGGTGAGAAAGCAAAGTTGTCAATGTAGCCAGAAAAGGACATGGTCAACAGTAATGTTAGCAAAGACACACCACAAAGAAGTGGCAGAGGGAATTAAAATGGAATGAGGAACTTGACTCACAACTTGCCAACTACCTCATGTAGAAAGGAGGCAGAAAGAGATTAGATCACTTGTCCAAGGTTGTATTCTTATTAAATAGTAGGGCTAAGATTCAGATTCAGATTTGTCTGACAAGAACATGTGATTATTATAGAATAATAGAGAGGACAGCTAGGCACTGGGGGAAGACAGTTTGGGGTCAAAATCTGTCTTATTTCTTTTCTAATGGAGAAATCTTACTAAATTTCCTAAATTCCCTATTCTTCAGTTCCTTATCCATGAAACAGAGAAAGCAGAGAAAAAAAAAATCTCTTACAGCTGCTATGAAGATTAAGTGAGATAATACACAAGTTTGTGTCTGTGTGTTGTGTGCGAATACAGAAATCTATCTATATACGAGTAGGCAAGTCCACATACACACATGCGTGTGTGTGTGTGTGTGTCACAATATATTCTTAAAAAATAATTTCTCTTATCTTCACCCAAATGCTCTTTACCAACCCTTTGCCTTCAGAGCTACAGATACCCTGAGAGAAAACGGCTTCATAATATGTAATGATCTTATTCCTACCACCAGTTTTGCTTATATTTCTTTAAAAAAAGAAAAAACAGGGGCGCCTGCGTGGCTCAGTCTGTGTCTGCCTTTGGCTCAGGTCATGATCCCAGGGTCCTGGGATCGAGCCCCACCCACATCAGGGTCCCTGCTCAGCGGGAAGCCTGCTTCTCCCTCTCCCACTCCCCCTGCTTGTGTTCCCTCTCTCGCTGTCTGTCAAATAAATAAATAAAATCTTTAAAAAGAAAAAACAGTTAACTCTTATTTTGCCTTAAACCATAGCTGTTTGGGTGGAAACAGAAGAATGAGAAACTCCACTTACCAGAGAAGTGAACTACGGATATCTTCATCAGAAAAGAGTTTTCCTCTTAATATCAACTTGAAAAGTTTAAGGATGTTAATACAGTTCAGATTCATTTTAATGGGCATATATTAAGTATATGCTTTACAGGTACTACATATATGAACACATGACAGTCTTTGCTTTCAAAGTCCTCTTAATCTAGCAGGATTAGAGCTACTAGCTCCTGGGCAGAATGAGCTACGTGCGGGGACAGAGTTTCAATCAACATACTCTGAGATAGGAACAGGGAAGATAACATTTTACTGTGGGGGAAACATCTGAGACTGACATCAAGAACAAGCCCATTTTCTTCCCCCTCTTTTCTTTGAGAGACTCTAATAGAAGGGAAGTAGATCTTCTACCGTTTTGATTCTTGGACTTTAATTTTTTACAAAGACAACAGAACTTGGCAAGTTCCAGAGAATACAATCAGAACTGGGTATATACTCTTAGCATCCCCTGTAATACTTACTGTCCTATTTTAAAAGTAATTTAAAATTGATTTGTAAGTACAAAAATAGCACATGAATAAATTCTTATTATTTTAAAAAACTGAGACAAATAGTTTGGCAGCTTCTTGAAAAGTTAAACATAGACTTACCATATGACCTAGCAATTCCACTGGGTCCCTTAGGAAGAATGAAATGGGAAACTGGTTTCCATGCAAATTATCCAAGCTTTAACAATCACATTAAACTTGTTAAATAAAATGGGATCTATTCACACAGTGGAATATCATTCAGATGTAAAAAGGAATGAAGTATATATACACTACCTCATGGATGAACTTGGAAACCATTATGCTAAATAAAAGAAGCCTGTCACAAAATTTTATTATATGATTCCACTTATATGGAATATCCTGAATAGGCAAATCTGTATAGACAGAAAATAGAAGAGTGGTTGTCCTGGGCTCTGGGGAGGAGGGAATGGCGAGTGACTGCTTAGTAGGTATGGAGTTTCCTTTTGGGATGAGAATGTTCTGGAATTAAAGAGTGGTGATGGTCTCAGAACTTTTTGGGTATACTGAAAACACTGAATTATACGCTTTAAAATGGTGAATTTATGGTATCTGAATTATCTCAATAAAGCTGTTATTGGGGAAAAAAAACCCCGAGACACTACAAAGTTGCAGCCCCTCTGACTGTCCCCCCTACACAAATCCCCAGTGGTGACCAACGTCAGCGCAGTAGGACTCCTTGTTAGGACGCTCTAGTTCTTCACAATGCCTGGCAGAGGTCCTTGCATGCAGCAGGCATTTTAGGTACTTGTTACACATTCCCTTTGTACAAGGGTAAGATACTACTGTTCTCTTCAGGATAATGTAGATCCTGCTGTGTCCACCACCACGAGAATTCCTTAGTTCAGGATCGGGCCATTTTAGAGGCACTGTTTTCATGAACACCACACACTGCAAGTGCAGTAACAAGAGTGCACAGCACTCACAGGCTGAAAGCTTACCAATCACAAGTCCAGTTAATAGAAAGCTCTGATATGAATGTTCATGTAAATAAGGAGGTGCTTTGCATCTGCCCTCTCAGTTTACAAAGGGTTGGGAGTAAATGAAACCGGGCTTGGCAAGGCTATTACTACTTTGGAGGCCATGACAGCAAGCTATAAATACATGATTTCTAACTTGAGGTCAAGTCCAACTTAAACAGAAGGCTTAGACAATCTCATAAAAAGACTCTCAGAATGTTACGATATTGTATTTCTCATCTTTTAATTTTTTTGCAGAGGTTTTTGATCGGGGGTACGCCAAGCCACATGAATTAACTTTTTAACACACATCCCGAGGCCCAATCCCTCAGAGGTTCTGATTTACTTAAGACCACAGCAGGCTGGCATTTGAATTTTTTAAAGCTCTCCAGATCAGCTGGAAACACTCAGTTGTTAGGAACTTGTAGGAAGAATGGGAATGGAAACTGGTTTCCATGCAAATCATCCGAGTATTCATTTAACGATCATGTTAAACTTGTTACAGCTGCCAGTCAGAAGACTGATAGCATATCCTCATTTGACTGAAGAGAAAATGGAGGCTCAGGAATTCACTCTTTAAAGTCAGGAGCAAGGACAGGGAAACACTTCAGAGTCCTGACGATGCCCCACATCTTCCTGGTATAAAGTTTCCAAACTCCCTTGTGGTATTGGAGTTGTGAAAATGTGCTTTAGGGGGCACCTGGGTGGCTCACTTGGTTAAGTGACTGCCTTCGGCTCAGGTCTTGATCCTGGAGTCCCGGGATCGAGTCTCACATCAGGCTCCCTGCTCAGCGGGGAGTCTGCTTCTCCCTTTGATCCTCTTCCCTCTCATGCTCTCTGTCTCTCACTCTCTTTCTCTCAAATAAATAAATAAAATCTTGAAAAAAAAAAAAAAGAAAATGTGCTTTAGGGGAAGGGAGCAAGTCTAGAACCAATTTTTTTTTTTTTTTTTACATAATTTTACTTGGGCTTCAATATAATAAAATTTTACTCGGACTTCAGTATTTTTGAAATGTTTTCTAATTTGTACCCTCTGGTTGACACAGCAGTTTCTCTTCACGTACTCCATCTACAAAGTGGCTCCTAAATTAGCAGCTAAGCTTGAGCTGGAAAGGAGGATGTGATACAGGAGCAGCTCTGGACATGGAGGGGAAGTAAAAGAGAAGCCTGTGCCTTCTGGCTCCATGGGGAAGGAAAGGGGGAGAAGAGATCAACAAATACATGATTCTCATTCATATGCCTGCTCCCCACAGATGCACTCCTCCCTCCCATCAAAGCAGGTTCAACTCAGGGAGCTGTGGAGCTTCCGAAATATCAAGACACCGTTCTCCCAGACATAACATGGGGCGGGCTTCAGGCTACTCAAGGTCACTGCTCAGCTCTGGGCTAATATATGGTATGAGAGCCAAAGCTTGGCTGCAGCAGCAGGAGAAGGCCAAAAGATGAGCTTGGGGCAGCACTGCTCACTCCCTAAAGCCTGCGTATAGCATGCGGGGCTTTCAGAAGCTACTAAGAGACAGCTGGAGCAGCAGAGGTCTGTGGTTGAAGCAAAGAATTCTCTGTGGACAGGAACTTTGAGACAACACATCACAGCCTCCATAGCGGGTTTCTGCACATCACACCCAAAGGACAAAACAGAATTAGTTACAACTCAGCAAACAACTCCAGGATATATTCCAAACCAGACAATGAAGCGGAGGACAGCACACAGATATCAGTGTAGATATCCACACGGATCCTCTTCTAACTCACACAGAGACATGGGATGATGCTTCCGCATTAAGCAGTCACTAACAGGTCTTATGCATCAACTGTTTGCCAGACACTGTTCCAGGCTGATAAGGATTTGGAGATAAATGATGCAAAGTCCCTGCCTTGACGAAACAAGATTTTGGGTGGAGGAAGGGAAGTGGGTAGAACTCTGAACGATGAAGCATTTACTCAAAGAGTTCTTCCTAGGAGGAAGCTGAATTCTGAAGACTCGAGGGAGACTGTTTATCCTGAAAAATTACAGCATGATGACAGACTTAAAAATGCCCCAAAATTCTTTGATGTTCTATCCAGCGGGAGGTTGTAAGTCTATTTACCTTCCTTGAATCTAAGTGGGCTTATGACTCCTTTGACCACGGGAGTGTGACAGAAGGAGCACTGGGTAACTTCTAAGGCTGGGCCATTAAAAAGGGCCATGAAGTTTCCATTTTTGGCCCCCAAGACATTCACTTTTGGAACCCCTGAGACAGTAGGTCAGAAGTCTGGTCACTTGGAAGCTGCACGGAGAGGCCACTTGCAGGTGCTCCAGACAGCAGCCTCAGCTGGGCACAGTCTCTGCGTCATCCCAGCCCTGGTGACATTTATGTGTGAAGACATGCTCAGACTCCGGTTCCTAACAGCCGAGGCACCTTCACCATCCAAATCTTCCCAGCTGGGGCCCCAGACATTGGGGAACAGAGACAAGTTCCTACCATGCCCTGTCTGAATTCATAACCCGCACAATCTATGAGCAAAACAAAATGGTTATTTTATGCCACTAAGTTTTGGGCATGCTTTATCACGTCCAAAGATTTATCATGAAGCAAAAGGAACTGGAACAACAGATGGGAACTGATAGAGAAGCAGATCAGTTAAAAAAAAAAAAAGCTATATTTTCTCTGGCTGTCTAAGCCTGGTTTGAGATAAACTTTTTATCTCATCACAGGAGACTAAATAAATTGTAACACTATTGTTAAGAATATCTGTTTTATCGGGGCACCTGGGTGCTTCAGTAGGTTAAGTGTCTGACTCTTGATCTTGGCTCAGGTCATAATCTCAGGGTCATGAGACTGAGCCCCGAGTTGGGCTCCACGCTCAGTGTGCAGTCTGCTTGAGATTCTCCCTCTGCCCCTCCCCCCGCTTTTGTGTGCTCTCTCTCTCAAAATAAATAATAAAATCTTAAAAAAGAAAAAAGAATACCTATCTTATCTACAGCAGCTATAATCTGGGCCATCCCAAAAGAATCTGGTAAGACACCATTCTCTTGTCTATATTTTCAATATGGGGCTAACATTCCCATGATGCCAGAGCCATCTGTGAACTCAATTTTGCCTCCCTCCCTTGGCACATGACATATGATAGGTATTCAGTAACTCTGTGGAATGACTGACTGGGTCCGAGGAGTCAGGGGAGAGAGAAGAAATTCCAGACAAAGCAAAGGGCTCGTGGTGAGTAAAGGTGGTGAAGGCGGGGTCCTGGGGAGAATGAAGTGGGCGACTTGAACCTCATTCTTAATCCTTTCCCCGTCCAAACAGTTTCCCTCAACATTCATGTGCTCCTATCTTTAATTAAGTTGTTCTCATTACTTGAAATGTTCTTTTCCCAGCTGCTTGGTGAACTCCTACTCATTCTTCAAAACTCTACCTCAATTGTCATTTGCCCTGAACCGTCCCTGGTACTGCTCCACTCCAAGTGGAATCAATCACTGTACTCCACTCTCCTGCAACACTTTCCTCTACCTCTGGCATAGGAGAATACTCTCCATTATATTTAATAAGTTTAGAGGTCTATTTTCCTTGATAAACTGTGAGTTACCAGACAGCAAGGATGATTCCTACTCATTGCCTTATCTCCTGCGTGAGTGTGTATGTGCCAAACACTAGGTCAAAAAAGAAAAAAAATCGCTGCCTTTGAGGAGGGAACATAATTAAGGAGAGAGAGATCTCAAAACACAGTCACGTAGCAATGTCATAAAAGCTGTACAGAGGTATAACGAGATGTGGGAAGACAGTCTCCCTCAGAAGGAAATCAGGAAGTGGCACGAGGAAGGTGACATCTGAGGTAGGACTTGAAACCAAATTAAGATCA